AGAGAGAGAGAGAGAGAGAGAGAGAGAGAGAGAGAGAGAGTTCTTATATGCCTGGCTCCTGGCTCATACCTGGCCCTTGCTAGGTAACTGTTGGGAGGAGCTTACAAGAAATGCTAACAAATAGGCTTGCTTGCCTCCCTAGGGACCAGAAGACAAGTTCAGGGCCAGCCCAAGCCTTGCTTACCCCAAAGTTGTGGATCTCTCAGCCTCTCTGTCCTAGTTTTGTTCAAACTGACCTAACTCTTAAATTGGTGGAGGAAGTCCCCCTCAAACACTCTTAAAAGCCCCAGCTCTCTGTTTTCCAGGGTCCCCCTTTGCTGTGCAGAGAGTCTTTTCCCTGTGTGTACCTTGCTGGGGGCTGTTTTTCTTCAACCCTAATAAAAGACTCTCTCCAACAGTTCGGTCTGCTGCTAGTTGCTGTGTTCGAGAATTTACTTCTCTGGCTCTCAAGACTTTTCCCCCTCCCTTTTAAGTATTTAACTGCCAGAGAAAATGAACTGGATCAAGACCCCTAAATGTGGGCTGGTGAGATGGTTCAGTGGTTAAGAGCACTGACTGGTCTTCCAGAGGTCCTGAGTTCAAATCCCAGCAACCACATGGTGGCTCACAACCATCTACAATGGGATCAGATGCCTTCTTATGGGGTGCCTGAAGACAGCTACAGTGTACTTACATATAATAATAACAATAATAATAATAATAATAATAATAATACCTCTAGATGTTAGGCAATTGGAACCTGTGTCAGAAATGATTCAAACCCAGCAGACATGACAAAGACGGCTGAGCAAGTGGGCCTCTGAGACTCCCTTGACTCTCAGCATTGGCATCACTCCACACACTGGGAAAGGTTACTCTGTCCATGAATCTCTCCTAAAACCCGAGTCCAAAGCCGCTACCTCCACACCCATGTAATCTTAGAAGTAGGTACAGTTACTAAACAGCTGCGCCTGCATTCAGTAAGTGGACACCTGTTTTGTCTGTGGTCACTCAGCAGGTAGAATAATGAGTTAAATGGCATTTGACTAGTTGGTGGTATAAGACATACAGAGATTATTTAGAGAGGATTTGAGGGCTCTAGGCAAATGCTACAAATTTACTTAAGGGACTTGAACATCTGCAGATTTTGGTATCCCCAGGGGTCCCTGGAATATACTTCACAGATACTCGGGGATGAGAGTATAGAGAAGCCAGGGGTATGGGTTAAACTAGATACCTCATACCATGTGGTTTCTAAAACTTAAGAGAAAATGTTTATATTTTTAAAGTTGGTATCCTAGCGGCTGGGGACATAGCTCAGTTAGTCAAGTGCTTGCCACACAGTCATGACAACATAAAACAAGCCATGGTGGTGGCTCTCCTGCACTTGTCACCCGAGTGCTAGGAGTCAGGTAGGTCTGGGGCCTGCTGGTCAGCCAGCCTCGCTCAGCTTTAGAACAAGCCAACGAGCATCTCAAAATCACAAGGTGGACGGCATCTGGAGAACTCCCATAGCTGACCTCTGGTCTCAAGCACACACGTGCAACACCCCCCCCCC